AATGTGCAATTTACTTTTATCATTCACATATATGCATTGCAAATGATCCCACTGATTGTACAAACATTAACAAGTAATTGGTATTGAAAAATATAGTAATGCACTTTAAGATTAAACGAGATTCATAAAGAAAGGAAGTTTTAAACCATTTACACGTGCATATAAAATCTAAATGTAATCTTACAAACTAAGGAGAGTGCTATTAAATGTGTAAATGTGAGAGTGCTATTGATAGCGTCTGCTGTCATGGGTCTGTCACAGTGACGGACTGAGGCTGCTGTTGTCTTCTTCTCTGATCAAAACAGTGTCCCCTTGCGGATACTCAATGAATTGCACCTTATTAAAAATATTAATTCTGTCTTTAATGCATTTTTTTCACTTTTAAATTATCCTGCGGGCCTAATTGAACCTCCTTGCGGGCCGGTTCCGGCCCGCGGGCCGTATGTTTGACACCATGCTTTACATAATCATCTCGCGGGCCGGATTAAACTCCTTTACGGGCCGGATCCGGCCCGCGGGCCGTAAGTTTGACACCCCTGATGTATACTATATATACTGTACTCCTGCATAAACTACAATCATTTAGCAAATATAAATGCCCAACATACATCATGCTGGGCATGGAATTAAGGGTTCATGAAAAAAATATGAAATAAGATACAGCCTATAGTCTTAAGAAATTAATGAAACATAATGGATGTCAAATTGAGCTAAGCACTTCTCCATCCTCCATAGAGGGATTTCAATCTCTCCTTATCAGTGAAATTTCTGTTTGGCGGAGCTAACTTAAATTGAGAATCGAAAACTAAGAATACTGAGAGTCAAAACATACATAAATGGGTGTTCTTCAGGGGTTTTTTTCTGCCATTGTGTGAATAGATATGAAATCTTTTCTCTATAACGTGCAACTATTTTACAGACAAAATAGTGTTAATCACAAAACATTTAGAAATGACTCACTACACCTCTATAAAAATATTAGTTTCATGTCAGCTAAGACATTGATGTTGAATTGATATTTGTCTTAAGTTGTCTTGCTCTTTGTGTTCGCAGAGACCTCATGTCCTGGGTTAATGGGATCCGAGGACTGGTGTCCTCAGAGGAGCTAGCCAAAGATGTGACTGGAGCTGAAGCTCTTCTAGAAAGACATCAGGTGAATAAATATGATTGGTTTCGAAATCAAGCTATCAACATTACATTTTACTGATTTATGTCCCTATGCTGCTCTTTTCATTTCTCCAGGAACATCGCACAGAGATAGACGCTCGTCTTGGTACGTTCCAGGCCTTTGAGCAATTTGGACAGCAGCTGTTGTTGCAAGGCCATTATGCAAGTCCCGAGATCAAGCAGAGACTGGAGGCTTTAGACTTGGAGCGAGCCGACCTGGAAAAGGCCTGGGTGCAGCGCCGCATGATGCTGGACCAGTGCCTGGAGTTCCAGGTAAATGTTGAGAAAAGATTTCTTCGTTTAAAAAAAAATGTATTATGTCATCACTAACATCGGTTTGTCTCCATTATTGGTTGACAATTTTCTGCATTCATCTCACAGCTCTTTAGCAGGGACTGTGAACAGGCTGAGAACTGGATGGCAGCTCGTGAAGCTTTCCTTGCAAGTGATGACAAGGGAGACTCCCTTGACAGTGTTGAGGCATTAATCAAAAAGCATGAAGACTTTGATAAAGCTATTAATGTGCAGGTGAATTGTCGCACACATTTTCTAGTCTTTCTGGATTACTGCTCTTTTTACTATAAACCTGCAATTGTCTGCACGCGCAGGAAGAGAAAATTGCTGCTCTGCAATCTTTTGCAAATCAACTAATTGGAGCTGACCATTACGCCAAACCTGAGATCTTCAGTCGACGCAATGAAGTTCTTGACAGGTTGGAATTTTTTTTTTTTTTTTAAGATGTTTAGAAGTTCCACAGATTATATATTTTTTGCCAATGCATCTCAGTGTTTTGTTCATGACAGCAAAAAAATTAACCAAAAAAAAAAAAAAAGATTAGCTCAAATGTTGCAAAGACGTTTGTCAGACACTCGCCAACAGTTTTCATGGTCGCAAAGAGCTTTTTCTCATCACCAAGAAATTTCGAACATGTTTTTGTAGCGATCTATTAGAAAAGGCCCAATACTGAGCTGTTATATGGTACACCGTAAAAGCAATTACAGCCTATTGGATGTTGGGTACATTGTGGTAGTCTAAGTATTCTTCAGTTAGACCAAAACACCAATATTAGAACCTGAAAACCCCAATTGATACTTTGAAAGGTGGCGCCGGCTGAAGGCCCAGATGATCGAAAAGCGGTCAAAGCTTGGTGAATCCCAGACCCTGCAGCAATTCAGCCGAGATGTGGATGAAATAGAAGCTTGGATCAGCGAGAAACTGCAGACCGCAACTGATGAGTCCTACAAGGACCCTACCAACATTCAGGTATTTAGTTATTTTTTTTAACTCACCACTGACATCAATTAGTTCATCGGTAATCAAATACATTCCGAGTGGAAAATGTTCACAGAGCTTCACTTTTGAAGAAAGTGTTTCGAAGTATGGCTGAAACATGACAACTTGAAACAGTGTGTCCAATTTTTTGAATGCATTATATGTTTGAGGAAACTCAATGTAAATTGTGGACTCGAGCTCTGTGAAACATTAACACCTGCTACTGCTATGAAAAATAATTTGCCCCTTCCTGATTATATTCCATTTGACAAAGCTAACTTGAGACAATTACAAAAGGAAGTTTAAATTATTTCCATCATGGGGGAAAAAAAACACCACTTTACCGCAATGTCATCAACATTGTGGTAGACTGAACACTACAAAAGAGAGAATAGTTGACCAAGGGAATACGTTACAAATACAAGTAGACAGGGTTCCTGTGGTTGCATCCTAGCGCAGTGCTGTTTTGTTCGTTTTATGTGATAGTTGTCTCGCCTGGAAATGTCAATTGGCACTAACCATGCAGTTGAAGCAAACTTCAGGTACCGCTGCTCAAGTGAAATCTGTAAACAAATTCATGTTCTCCCAGTTCTACTCAGTTATGAGATTTGCGCACATATTTCATTATCTTTGTTTTTTAATGAATTATCCCTCAAAATGCATACCCCAAAAGTGAAACATGCAAGTGGCTATGTGAAAGTCCAGGAAGGATGGAATCCCAGTTACGGCGGCACCCACTGAGCACTCGCTGGGAGGACACCTCTGCACTGTGACGCCGACGTGCTAACCAGTTGCAAACACAAATATACATTTCAGTCATGGCGTCTTGCTGGATTGGGGGCGAGTTACTGCAGTACAAGTCTGACTTCCGTCATATCTCTCTCTCTCTCTCTAATAGATATTTTGAGCAGAAAAAGGGAGCGAGAGCCCGCTGGTCAGGGAGTGCTAGTTGTTTCGCTCCATCACACTGTTTAGTCAATGTTTCTGTAAGAATTGTGCCGCCACGTAAAATGCATCACACTATGTAAAACAACAAAGAAAAAAATCTGGCACGCCAAACTTTCTGTGTCATGAATTTGACGTGTCCTAGATACCTGCTCGTCACAGGGCTAATGTTAGTTGGGTACATTCATGTATAGCTCACTGATTTACGGTCCATTGATTTTTTTTTTTGCCATGGTTTGGGTCCTACGCAGCTTCACCTTGGGCCTCTTTTGCGGATAGCAAGTTCCGTGTTACGATTACATGCCACAGTGGTCATTAATCTGGAAGCCTCCCACACCTCTGTCATCTTCCCGAGAGATCCACAAAATAGATTTGCATCTGCCTCCGACTTTGTGCATTTGTGACTTAAATGCGTTGTGCCCGCTCACAGTTTTGCTTTTCAATTATTTATTTATTTTTATGTATTACGGTGACTGACTCAGGCGCCAAAAAAAATCTGAACACGACATCCCTAATTAAGTGTTTTATATGTCTGCAATTCATGTTGTCATCCAGCAATGTTCAAAAAGTTATTTTCCCTTTAGGTACGCCTTGGTGCTCTAGATGAGCAATGGCAGTTCCTTGTCAACAAATCTGCTGAAAAGAGCCAAAAACTCAAAGAAGCCAATAAGCAACAGAACTTTAACACAGGCATCAAAGACTTTGACTTCTGGCTCTCTGAGGTGATTACGCCATTCCACATACTGTAGAAACACTTTCACAGAGTAGAAAATGACTGATGCGTTTTTCCATATATTTTCAGGTGGAAGCACTTCTTGCTTCAGAGGACTATGGGAAAGATCTGGCCTCAGTCAACAACCTGCTGAAAAAACACCAGCTGCTGGAGGCTGATATTTCTGCCCATGAGGTAGGTTATTCGGTAGAAGGGCAGGCAGATACGCAGTCAATACAGTGCAATGGATTAAAAAAAGTAGACAGCCCTGCTCAAAGGCTAGAAAACTGAATAAAAGGTCGTTCACCTTTCGGCGTATCAGTGACCCCAAGTACATAAACAAATAACTAAAGAAAGGCTTCACCAGAAAGAGATGAACGATTTGGAACAGCCCAACAGGATTTCAGACCTGATTCCGATCAAACATCTGTGCACGCTCCTCTTACATTTTCATGATCTCCACGCCATTACTTGATGGGAGTTGTTCAAATTACCGTATTTTCCCGACTATATTTTTTTTTTTGTTTCTTTTTAAGACTTGAACAGGGGGACGGAGTTTTGTTTTTAGGACCCCAGATCTGCAGAGCACTGGCCATGAGCTCGGCAGTAATGTGTGTGTGTGCGCGGTAAAGATTTTGATGATCTACACCTCTCATTTTCATTGAGTGGATAATTTTGAATTTTTATGTTGTCTTAAATTTGCTCTAAAACAATTAAGCGTGACAAAAAGAAGGAATCAGGAAGGGTGCAAAACACTATTTTCTTTCAAAGCTTTTAAATTTCAGCATACATGATACTCTCATTTGACGATTCATTGTCCAACCCCACTTTCTTATCTGCCATAAAACTAAATTTTCTCCTAATGTCTTTTGCTTTCTCATAGCTGTCCAAGCTTCTGGTAAGTTTGAGTACTGTTAGTTTACTAACCAAACAGATATCTTCCTTTGTGGATATGATTGGATATAAAAATATACACAAACCCTTGTGCCAGATTTCAATAGAAATGTAGAAAAACAATAACTTTTTGTTTCATGCAGTGGGCAAGCAATTGCAACGCCCCATTCTGAGGCTTCAAACAGCAAGTTCTCAAATGGAAGTAGCCAATGAGCTTAGTGTTAGTGTGACATCAGCAGTTTCAACAGACATAAATAGAGACTGGAATAGTGACAGAAAGGCTTTAAAAGTCAAGGTCCCTGAAAATGCATCGGTTGGTTCATGGACCAAACATTTTGTGGATTTTGCCATATATCTCCATGTTGGAGAACAGCAAGTTGTACAAAAGTATTGAACTCTTAACAGATATGACCTGGAAAGATTAATACTGCATTTATCAATCTACGCTATATTGACATGAATAATATTTCCCTTGACATGAAGTCCGCATGGATGTAGCTGAACCTGCATACCTGATGTCATGTTGTTCTTTATATTGCACACTCGTTGGGAAAGAGTCAATGGCGCCATAACTGGTTGCAGCACCATCAATTTGATTAATTCTTATTGATTGATAAATCGATAATCATGCCCATCCCTCATACCTGAGATTACAAAGGACTCTCTCTGAATGACTTAAGCAAGAGTTGGTAATCATCAAAAAGATCTGGCAGTCAATGGTTTGTGTAGACTTTTTAAATCCACGATAAAATCAGCACTCTATGTTTTGAGTGGTCTTCACTCATGAGTGCAGGCTTTATTTGTTGTTTTGATTGTACGACATTTAAAAATGTTTGGTGGAATCTCTTGACATTTCATTGTTTAATTGGTACTAACTTAACAGTCTTAAAACGTTCTTCAAATGTTTCAGTAGAATAAAATGCAAAGCAATGGGAATGCAGTGATTCCCCCTCCATTCAGTTCCACCCCTGCAATATGTCAAATGTTTAAAGGTCTTTAAACACACTTGTAAAATAACACACTTTTAAACAAGGCTATGAAGACTGAGCAAGATCAATGAACAACACAAATATTGTACAATGCAACGTGTACTCTCGACAACTCTCGGCGACGACCATGTTGATAAAGCTGCCGTAATACCGTACATTCTCATTTCAAAGCCCAAATAAAGGTGGCTTTTTTTTTAGTCAAACATTGACAAAGTTGGCATGCGTTGAAATTGACCATCAAAGTTTCTGCCTGCTCAAGCATATCGTACAACTGCGTCTAAACATGGACTCAGTCCTTCTATATTGGTGAGTCGCTGATCAGTCATGAATCTGGCTTCATACTTAATCCTGTTATTTTGAGTTTTATGGTTTTTTTTTTTTTTTTGCTAAGGTCAGTTCACTCCACACATTTTTTTTAATAAACTTACCTTGGAATAGAAATTAAACAGAAGGTTCATCAAACAAACAAAAAACTTTCTAATGACTTGTCAAATGTCATTTTTTGTATGTCCCTGTCACCACACTGTCTACGTTTTCCATACTAATGTCACATTTGTATAATTATAGTTATGTAATTATAATAACAAACAAAATAGATTGTATTAACAAAAATGGCTGGGATTCTAACTTGTGCACTGAACGTCATTATTAGAGTATTTTGGCACTAAATGTAAGTGCAACGCTTCTCTTTTTGCTCCCATTCTCATGACTTGGACTTACAGATGCAAGACTTTTTCTCTTGCTAACTCTATTGGGGGGTTGGGACGCTGGGGGGTGTAAATAAAATAAAACGGAGCATTTTACAGTGGCCTTTTATGATGTGCAGCCATTGACACACTTGTGAAATCATTGTAATTTTTTTTTGCACAAAGGAAAACCGTCTTTGAGCTCAGCTCATGGGAAATGGGAGCAAGAACAAAAGACTTGCATTTGTGCAGTGCCTTTGCAAAAGTATTAGACCCCTTGAACGTTTTAAGCTTTTGTCACAACATAAAGATTTAAAAAGTGGGAATATTTTGTGAAAAATCAACACCAAATGGGACACAAATAACAAACTGAAAAGTAGGGTGTGCAAAATTATTCATCCCCTTTTCTCTAAGTGCAGCCAGCTGACTCCAAATGATCTCTGATGATTTCTTAATTATCCAGTGTTGACCTAAATGACTGTGGATGATAAATAACAAGACTTCCTACTGTCGTGTCATTATAAATGCACCTCATCTTTGATGATCTCAGAGGTCTGTTAAAAGAATATTTGGCAGCAAACAGTATCATGAAGACCAAGGAACACACCGAGCAGGTCCAGGATAAAACTGCGGAGATGTGTAAAGCAGAAGTAGGACATAAATAGTTTTCACAAGCTTGAAAGATTTCACGGAGCACTGTTTGATCAATCTTTTATACCCCTTTCTCACTGAAATTAGTGGGTAGTAGTGATCCGTGGTGACACGCAACCAATTGGCATATTGTCCCTTTCCCATTGACCAACAGAAGGCGATTCTGCCCCCCTCCCCCTTCCCCACTTTGCGTCTGGTTACGTCACCACGCTGTGATTGCGTAGATGATAGTGCGACAGATTTCTTGGTGGTAAACAAAGCAATATGGAAGCGAGTGTTCTTTCTTTTATCATGCTTTTACCATCCTCAAAATGGTCGAAAAGCAGCGGAGGATCAATTCTTTGCTACCACTGAGACAGCAGCTTAAGGGTCGGTCTCCTAGCTTTGTTGTGGGGGCGTGCTATATACGAGGCCGATGGCGCGCGATGTTATGACGCATCACGTACCGCCCTCTGTCATCACGTAATTACCGGGAAGTCCGTGTTAGGCTTTCAAACTGCATCGGAGGCGATCACAACCCGCCTCCGATGACGTGCTGGTGGACACGGATCGACACTGGCCAGTGAGCCTTTCCCACTGCCCAAAAAAACCTGTGGTTTTGCGGCAGTGGGAAAGGGGTAATATTGAAATACAGAGAGAATCAGACCACAACAAACGTACCAGCACCTGGCCATCCCTTCTAAACTTTTAGCCCAAACAAAGGAGCACTGTTCAGAAATACCGCCAAGATTGCCATGATCACTTGGATGAACTGCAGAGATGGTAGGGGAATCTGTTTATAGGCCAAGTATCAGTCTCACACTGGACAAATCTGGCCTTTATGGAAGAGAGACAAGAAGACAGCCATTTCTCAAAGGAAAAATATAAAAAGTCATGCTTAAAGTTTGCCACAAGCCTCCAGGGTGACACCAAAAACGTGGCAACTGGTCCTCTTGTCAGATGAGACCAACCTTTGGTGTGTCAGATTTTGCGTAAATGTAACACTGCACATCACCCTGAAAACTCCACCCCCGCTGTCAGGCATGGTAGTGGTAGCACTATGGAATGGGGCTGCTTTTCTTCAATAAGGACTTGGAGGATGGTTGATGGAAGATGGATCGCGTCGAACACTAGGGAAATTTAGGAAGAAAACCTGTTGGAGTCTGCAAAAGATTTGGATGGCAGTTTACATTGCTGCAGGACAATAATCCAAAACAAAAAGCAAAATCCACATCTGATTAGTTCAAAACTGAACAGAAGTGTTAAGCCCCGTTCACACGGCAACGTTTGGTCCGACGCAGCTCCGAAACAATTCCAGTCGAGCATTCACACGTGCACATTTGCTCCGGCGTAGCTCCACTAAAGAGCTTATACCGGACCAAATTTGATCCACCTCAGGGAGGTGGTTTAAAAATTTGCTCCAGAGCAAATGCTCGTTTGCGACGCTACGCCGAAACAAATGTGCACGTGTGAACGCAGCTGGATTAAATTTGCTCCAGAGCAAAGGCTCGCTTGCGGGGGAGTGGCCTCTCTACGCTCGCTACCAGATGCACGGAATCCGACCCCGGTCGACAGTGACGAGGGCGCCAGCGACACAGACGAAGCCCGGCCGTGCACCCCCGTTCCCGGTAAAAGTGTCGGCGATTTAAGCGGTGAAGACAGCGCTCACGATCAAGATGAGAATCGAGAAAGCAGTGACGTAAGCCGAGCCCGATTTGCAGGCCCGAGCCCGAAGCAAACCCGACATTTCATATTTTATTTGTGAGTATTTTTGGGAGAAAAAAAACACAAGATTTCTTACGGTTAAAATAATCTACATATTTTTATGAACATGATCAATGCATTTGCACAACGAAATAACGCTGAAATACAGAATAAGAGGCCAGACAAAGAGAAATCTCGATGCGCATTTGCTTAATTACGCAGAGAAATCCTGCGGCTTACTAGGCTTTAAATAGAATAATTCAAATGAAATAAATAGGTAAAGATATCGGAAATTATTTCTACAGGATTGTTTAAACGAAATTAACATACATGCGCACTGGTCTGGCCGGCCGCGCTCCTGTTTAGCAGTTAAATAGCAATTAAATTACAGCGCATTCTCTGTTTTATCCAAATTGTTTGTTTTAAAACAAGTATTCCTTAGTTTAGTATCCGCACATTGTTTTAGTGTACATTTTTCAAAACATATATTGTGGCAGTCATAAGGAGCACACACGATTGACTGTAAACACGTCTTTATTCCACGACTGCCGACAAGTGGATCTATTCTGAACAAGGACAGAATAGTGTCCGCCATAATATTTATTAAAAGAAAAATAAATAAAAGTCCGCGAGAGAGAAGCCCGACCCGAACCTGTTTTACTTCCGCATTCCTGTCGTTTTGGTCCGCAGCAGACACTGCACGTGTGACCGCAAGTGGAGCTGCTCAGACGCTGCGTCGGAGCTGTCACGCTCAGCAGCTTTGCACGTGTGACCGCTCCACAAAATTTGCTCCGGTGTAAAATATATCGCAACAAAATATTTCGGTGCAGCGTCGGACCAAATGTGTGCCGTGTGAACAGGGCTTTAGAATGGCCGAGTCAAAGTCCAGACCTGAATAAAAAATAAACTCATACCGGTATATTATACACACACACACACACTTAACGATTACGGCCCATTTGGTGTTGATTCTTCACCAAAACCCCCCCCCCAAAATCCAATCCAATTTTATGTTTGTTTGAGACTTTGAATGTGGGAAAAGGTCAAAAACTTCAAGGGGGCTAATACTGTTGGTAGTACTTTTTGTTCAGTATAAATTGGTGGTAAATTACCAAATGTAAGCGACATTTTTTTCTTGTTTCTCTCAATGACTGTAGAGTAAACATCAGAAGCACCAAGCATTTGAGGCGGAGCTCCATGCCAACGCTGACCGAATCCGGGGGGTCATAGATACTGGTAACGCACTCATCCAGAGAGGTGCCTGTGCCGGCAGCGAGGATGCTGTTAAGGTATTTATTGTGTGGTTTCATGTAAATTGTGGTCTAGTAAAAAAAAATAATAATAATAATCCATTGATCTTTACAAAGCAATGTTGGGCACTGACGAAAATTGTTAAATAATGAAATATTATTGTCTTTGTTATTATTGTCTTGGCACAACTTTAAATTCGATATTAGCCTCACGGTAGGGAATTTTCATTGTTGAAACAGCAGTAGTGGTTCCGAGACACAAAGAAGGAGCAGGCAAATTGGACACAGAAATGTAAGCTAATTATTGTATGTGCTCAAGGACACCCTGAACTTGCCAGCCAATCGCAGGGCACACATAGAAGAACAAACATTCACACTCACAGTCACACCTAGGGACAATTTAGAGTGTTCCATTAACCTACAGTGCATGTTTTTGGAATATGGGAGGAAACTGGAGTACCCGGAGAAAACCCATGCAGGCACGGGGAGAACATGCAAACTCCACACAGGAAGACCAGAGCCTGAATCGAGCCCTACACCTCTGCACTGTGACGCCGACGTGCTAACCAGTTGCAAACACAAATATACATTTCAGTCATGGCGTCTTGCTGGATTGGGGGCGAGTTACTGCAGTACAAGTCTGACTTCCGTCATATCTCTCTCTCTCTCTCTAATAGATATTTTGAGCAGAAAAAGGGAGCGAGAGCCCGCTGGTCAGGGAGTGCTAGTTGTTTCGCTCCATCACACTGTTTAGTCAATGTTTCTGTAAGAATTGTGCCGCCACGTAAAATGCATCACACTATGTAAAACAACAAAGAAAAAAATCTGGCACGCCAAACTTTCTGTGTCATGAATTTGACGTGTCCTAGATACCTGCTCGTCACAGGGCTAATGTTAGTTGGGTACATTCATGTATAGCTCACTGATTTACGGTCCATTGATTTTTTTTTTTGCCATGGTTTGGGTCCTACGCAGCTTCACCTTGGGCCTCTTTTGCGGATAGCAAGTTCCGTGTTACGATTACATGCCACAGTGGTCATTAATCTGGAAGCCTCCCACACCTCTGTCATCTTCCCGAGAGATCCACAAAATAGATTTGCATCTGCCTCCGACTTTGTGCATTTGTGACTTAAATGCGTTGTGCCCGCTCACAGTTTTGCTTTTCAATTATTTATTTATTTTTATGTATTACGGTGACTGACTCAGGCGCCAAAAAAAATCTGAACACGACATCCCTAATTAAGTGTTTTATATGTCTGCAATTCATGTTGTCATCCAGCAATGTTCAAAAAGTTATTTTCCCTTTAGGTACGCCTTGGTGCTCTAGATGAGCAATGGCAGTTCCTTGTCAACAAATCTGCTGAAAAGAGCCAAAAACTCAAAGAAGCCAATAAGCAACAGAACTTTAACACAGGCATCAAAGACTTTGACTTCTGGCTCTCTGAGGTGATTACGCCATTCCACATACTGTAGAAACACTTTCACAGAGTAGAAAATGACTGATGCGTTTTTCCATATATTTTCAGGTGGAAGCACTTCTTGCTTCAGAGGACTATGGGAAAGATCTGGCCTCAGTCAACAACCTGCTGAAAAAACACCAGCTGCTGGAGGCTGATATTTCTGCCCATGAGGTAGGTTATTCGGTAGAAGGGCAGGCAGATACGCAGTCAATACAGTGCAATGGATTAAAAAAAGTAGACAGCCCTGCTCAAAGGCTAGAAAACTGAATAAAAGGTCGTTCACCTTTCGGCGTATCAGTGACCCCAAGTACATAAACAAATAACTAAAGAAAGGCTTCACCAGAAAGAGATGAACGATTTGGAACAGCCCAACAGGATTTCAGACCTGATTCCGATCAAACATCTGTGCACGCTCCTCTTACATTTTCATGATCTCCACGCCATTACTTGATGGGAGTTGTTCAAATTACCGTATTTTCCCGACTATAAACAGTGATAATTTTACAGTTTAACCCCAGCGAGTCCCAGGGACTCGCTGATCAGAAAAGTATGAGTCCCAAATTTCGAATTCTGAAATGGTCTACTTATTCAATTTCATTTGATAATAACACAAACAACAACATATACGTACAATTAAACAACAAAATATACATACAATTACAAATGCTGCAAAAATTTAAATAATACAGGCATACAAGATTTGCTGAGAAATAGGTTCTTATTTCATCCCATGGTTCAGTCTTTGAGTTCATAAATTCTCCTCTCTTT